GTGAGGATACTTGAAGTGGTCTTAGGGCCACTGCAGTTCTTCCCATGGAGTCCCTGGGCAAACCCTGCATGGCCCCAGGCAGCCTCATGACCCAGCACTGGGCTGGGGCTTGTTCTGCCCACCTCAGGTTCCTGTTCTTTCAGTTTAGTCCTCAGGAGACCACATCCGCTGGTTTTGTGCCAGGGAGGTCTCCTCTGGCTGCATTTGAGACTGAAAGTATTTGTATGCTGCTTCAGCCCTGCCCTCTTCACACAGATCTGGAGGATGGTACAAATGCAAATTAGTGTTGTTTCAAATATTCTTCAGGCCAGCTGTACTGGCCTCAGTGTGAAGTAGATTTTCCACCAGACAGTGTATCTTCTGGATCTTGAAGAAATGCTGTGAAAAGTGCCACTTCTTAAAGGCCTGAATTCTGAACACTTCTGTTCTTTATGTATTATGGGTGTGATGAGGCTACTGATGAAGTTGCACTAAATGAAGATTTGGGGTGCTTAGTCTTATGTATCTGTAGCAGGTTGCCTTTTCAAAAGTAAATGTGTTTGTCGCTTTCTAAAAGTCAAGCCTGCCTGAGAAGTGTTCTCCAAAATTGGCAGCGCTTTAACCCACCAGTCTTTTTTTCTTATACAAAATGTTAGTTACATCTGTTTAGATACCTAGAGGAAATTAGCTTTGAATAAAGTAAAAAAAAATGTAAAAGGCACTATTTTTACTGGGGAGCCTAACAAGTTGTGTCATAAATATCTTGGTTATTTTCTGTCTGGGTCCTGGAAGTATTCTAGCAGCTTGAGGTATATGTGTAGACATTGCAGAAATGAGCCATCCCACTCTGGAGGTTCAGCTTGTAGCTGCTGTTGCTCCCTGAGACATGACACCTCCTGTCATGAGAGGCAAAGCTGACTAGGTGCAGCACGGCATCCCTATCCTACTTCCAGAGCTGAGCTGCTGTCTCCAGAAACTGCTGCACAACCCAATGCAGAGTTTCCTGATTGTATGCAGAGCATCTTGAAGAACTCTGCTCTCCACTGTGCCACACTGGCCTGCCCACAAACCTGTAGGATGCCTTTGCTTGATTTAAGAAGAGGGGTTTCTGCTTATCACTCTGAGTAGTTCCTGGACACATCTGGAACCTAGAGCAAAAGGAACAGAAGCAAATTCCATAGACTTGAGGGTCAGTTGTGTGGAATGTCCTGTGCCCAATGTCAAACAAGTGCATCAGAGACAAAAAGGAGAAAAAACAAAGCTTGGAAGCCTTGTTGGAGAGGAACTGGGCATAGGACAAAGGTATGGTGCAAAGTCCTACAGAGATGTACAGATAATGCCCTCCAGCAGCTTCAAATTACTTTCAGGGCAGTACTTACTTGAACTTGTAGCAAATTGGATGTAATTTGTATTTCTTCCCCATTTTCCTCACTTAATCCCTCTGAAAGATGTTAGTAAGCTGTGTCTATCATCACATTGCATTTCTGATTAACAGCAAGGGCACAAGGGCACTCTCAAAATAGAAACAGAGTCAGGATTGTTTTAAATCACAGTGTTGCAGAAGTATTAAAGCAGAAGCCATCATTTTAATATGTTCAGAAATAAAATGCATGCTACTGTAAACAGTTATGTACATTCATCTAGCTGCTACTGCCTGGCATAACCTTTTGCATTAGGTTTCTGTGATTCATCTTTTCTTTTGTTGCAGAGAGTCGAATGATTCTGGATGCCTTTGCTCAACAATGCAGCCGGGTTCTAAGTCTCTTAAATTGTGGTGGAAAACTACTGGACAACAATCACTCTCAGTCCATGATTTCTTGTATAAAGCAGGAAAACCCAAATTATAGTGAAAGACAAGAGCAATGTCAGCTCGGGAAAATGGTCCATAGTCAGACATCAGACATTTTAGACATAGAGATGCAGTATATGCAAAAGAAACAACAAACCTCAGCCTTTCTGAGAGTTTTTACTGATTCCCTTCAGAACTATTTGCTTTCTGGGAGCTTCCCTTCTCAGAACACCTCATCAATAAATGATTTTAGCCATTTGGCAGATGTGGATCCACTTTCAGCCTCTCCAGTACACACTTTAGGTGGATGGACATCTCCAGCAACATCGGAATCTCATGGTCATCCATCATCTTCTACACTTCCAGAGGAGGAAGAGGAGGAAGAGGAAGAAGGTTACTGCCCTCGGTGTCAAGAGCTAGAGCAGGAGGTAATTTCATTGCAACAAGAAAATGAAGAGCTTCGTAGAAAGTTGGAGAGCATTCCAGGTAAATAATCTCCTGCCACATAATGTTGCCATTCAGTGATAAAAATAGTGTGGGTAATAGTTTATTTCAAGTTCTAGTCATTTTTAAAGGTTGCAGTCATAGTGATCAGACACGGGAATTTGTCTCCAGCCAAAATTTTTATAGCTGTGCCCAGTGGAAAGTTATCTGCTGATACTCATCTCTAAGAATATTGAGTCCTACATTATTAAGGTGTGTTCAGGTGGGGATATACATGTAATCCCAAATTCCAAATATCAGGTGGTTTGTCATACTAATTTCAAACATATGTTTCATAACTCTTTATCTGTCTTGTTCTGCAAGTGACATTGCAGCTTATAAACCTAATTTCCTTTTGGGGCTCCTTTTTTTGGTTACTTTGGTTACTACTATTCAAAGATACATCTATAGTTTTACCTGAAATAATTTTGGCTATTACCTTGAACAGTTTCTCTTAAATTGCTGCTAGTTAGTGAGAAGCATTAATACATCTCCTTCCATTCATCTTCAAATAAATCTGAAAAAAAAAAAAAATAAATGAAAGCCTAACAACAACTTTCCAGTTCAGCAATAGGTAGAAGCCACTGGGAGAGAGAAAGAAATCAAATAGAAGCCCCTTCTGTGAAAAGCTTTTCGTGGTCTTTAGACCTAGGACATCTCACTGTTCAGGTGAGCCAAGATACTTGAAGAGTGGTATGGGATAAGAACAAAATATCTTGGACCTGTATATTCTAAACTTCCAGCACAGGCAAAAATACACCTCAAATAGTAATACTAAAAGAAAATAGGAATTTAGCAAAGAAAGAAGCATACAACATGCTTTTGTCATGTATAAACACTAGGGAACTGCTCCTTTTTTACCTGAATTTGTGGTGCTTGGGGTAGATCCGTGAAAAGTTGATTGAATTGATCTCTGAAAGGCAGAAAAGTATGTGTAGTACAGTATGAGCTGCATGAGAGAAAATACTTTGAAGATGCTAACTATGCAGAAAGGAAGAAGGCAATAACCAACTACTGCCCCAACATGTAGAGAGGCAGTTGCAAAATCTGAGCAAAATGCAAGCAGTAGTCTTCATAATTCTCCCCAGCTCTCAGTGATGTACTGTGCATTATTTATATCACATCATGTTTTTCTCCTGTGCATTGGTCGATAGGGATACTGGCAAATCCCATAAGCAGCATTGTTCGGTGCAAGGAAAACCCAAAATTTAGAGTAACTCCCTCACCCCTCCCAAAAATACAGAGTTACCATAACTCATGCACTTTCACTGGTTTCAGCAGTGGTTAGTACATCATCTGGTACTGTGTGACAAAGGGAAATGTGTGGACTACAACTCCTGTTGAATCTTACCTTCAGGTGTGTAAGACCAGAAATGGTCCTGTAGGGTCTGTAATCTGACTGACAGCTTTCATTCAGTCACCTGTGCTGAACACAGTAATTTTTTTGACTTTCACTAATGCATAACTTGTATTTAACTCAAGTGGTATCTCAGAAGGTCTCCAGTCTCTGGTGAGCAGTGGCTGTATCTCTTACCTGACATTTGGTTCCAGTGTTAATTACACTGGTGAAAATATGTGCCTTGTTCCTTGCCTGACTACCTGAAATCAGCTTTTAGCCATTGACTTTTATGGTTTGCTCCACTAAATGAAGTGCTCTATAGGTCTTGGTACTTCTTCTGATTGAAGGTACTTACAGACTGAAAGCTGATTTAATTTCCATTTTAAATAAACAAAGTAAACAGTACTGTTTGAAACTCCTGAAATTACTTGAATCCTTCTTTGCAGTTTTTTGTTTTTTCTCCCCTTCTGCTAATTTCTTTAAAATCTGGGCACTGGAAATGCATGCAATATGTTCCTGTGAGCCTGATCAAAGGTGAATAGACTCTTTGCTTGCATCCATGGTTTCTCTGGTGGGTTGTGCAGCCGAGCTTCTCATTCTGTGCACATTTCTTCCTGGAAGTACACACTTTGTATTTGTCTGTGTTCATGTACTAAGTGTTCCAGATTGCTCTGACTGTCCCACTTGCCCACTGTTTTCTGATTTGTCAATTTCCATATCACCCAGAATTTTTCTAATTGTTTTTAAATTAACTTTGTGATACTGGTTAGAAATGTTGAATAGTATTGAAGGTGTTGTTAGTCCTTGTTGGGCCTTTCTAGAAACATGTCCATTAATGATGATTCCTGCAATGACAAATATTTGAGATGTCAGTAGCAGGTACCTAATATATGTATGGTCTAGTCTGCTGGTGTTGAGTGTTGCTACTATTGCAATCAACTAACTCATGGCAGTAGATTACATGTCCTTCAGGACTCCTTCAGGTATCTGCTCAGCCCAATTTTTCAGGCGAATCTATACGCTTATCTAGGAATGACAATCGGGTTAGTCTGGCAAGATCTACTTTCCATTAGACCATTTTGACTGGAATTAATTATAGTCATGTTCTTTAGTTCTTTGTCATTTGAATCCTGTTGTGATTGCCTGTATTTTGCTAGGATTAATGCTGGGTTAAGCAGCAAGTATTTACCTGGGTCATCATATTTAGCCTTCATCTCCCTTTAAAAGTGATAAATGTGCATAATCATAGTCATTTTACACCCCCCAGGAGTCATGAAACTCCTTATTAACAGTGTATGAAGGGAAGCAGACAAACATAAAACATGTGCAAGGGGGTAGGACTTCGTCTGCCAACACAAAATCATCATCAGATACATCTGCTGCTTCCTGGTGACATATCCAAATAGATCTGAAGTGACCCATGTGTTTGCAGAAGTGTTAAGAGCCACAGAAGCTCTCTCAGATTTTGCTACATGGTAGGACAGAGATGCTCATACAGTCACACAGCCACCACTAAGCAAAGTTAATAAAAAATCAACTAAAGGTAATGTCTAATTATTTTTGTCTCTAATGTTCATTTTCCTCCTGTGAGCTTTTACTTCTGAAAAAGCTGGCAGAAATTTTTCTGTGACTTGAAATACCCAGCTCTGTTTGTAAAGAGGAGCTTGTTCTCTGTCCCTTTTTGGGTTTTTTTGTTTTTTTTTCCCATCAAGATGTTGCATGCCTCAGGAGGGAGGTAGAAAGTGTCAGTATTGTCTGCCACCATCTCTCACATCAAAGTAATCTCAAAGCACAAACTTTCTTCCCTGCCCGTTCATCCCCACCTCATGCAGGCCATCCGATGGGCCAGGGAAGGCGGTGAGCATGGGGGAGAAGCCACCAATGTGGCAGCTAGAGGAGAGTGAAGGTTGCCACCCTGTCTCCATCGAGCCACTGAAAGAGCAGGATTTTTTTTTATGTAGTAGTTTCTCTTCTCATCCCTGGGGAGCTAGTCCAGAGCTGCTGGATGAGGCTGGCAGGGGACCCTGTGGGGCAGTGGCAGTGCCCTCCCCACAGTCGCTGAGCTTCCCACTAGCAACTCTACCAGCAGGGTATAAAAGCACCAACCCCTCCCTTCTGCTGTATAATATGAATCATTTTATCCTTCTCCTGAAATACTTTGCATTTCTTTTTTTTACTTTCCATATGCAAAAGCCCTTTTAAAATCCATGAGAGTTTGCGATCTAAAAATAGTTGCCGCTATACGTCTCTGCCTCTAGCTTTGCAAAGCAGGGCTCACAAAGAGACTACATGAAAAAGGGTGTTTTCTCAGCAGATGTAAAGGCAGTGACACTCTTTTTCTTTTTTAACAAATATTACAGAAGACATATTCTCCTGTAGCTTTTGGACACAGAAAATAAGATTTTTCAGTTTTCAGGAGCCTGCCCTGTTGCTGTAGAAGCCCTTCAGTTCTGTGGGATCTTTTTGCCTGCAGCCTAGTATCACTCTTTGGCAGATCACCACTGGAGAGAAATGATTACATGGATAAAATATCCCATATATTTTGGTTGCTGGATGGGTAGATGTCTTCTTCTCAAAAAAAACCCATTTGATTTGACTGAAACAATACTTAAATTTGTGTGAAATCTTAATTGTTCCAGAAAAAAAATTTGTATGTCAGTGCTTGGGGTTTAAAGCAGTGTAACTTCTTTCAACTTGTCCAGTCTCCCCAATACTTATTTTTTTTAGGGCAAAATATTAACCAAACATTTTCAGTTTTCAGTTCAACTGAATATAAGAGGAGCATTTTCATTCAGTGTGTTACCTTGTCTTCTTTTGAAAAATAATTAAAGTTTAGGTAATTCCTGGAAGGAGTTTGGCAAACTTACCATTGACTCTTTAAGGTTTTGAGATCATTAAGAACAAAACAAAGTAATCCATCCACATGAGGAGAAAAGTGTCTCCTAGTTAATTTTCTCTGTATAGAAATTACTGTGGCTGTGATACTTTCCCAGTAGTGAATTTAAAGACATATTTGTGGAGCTGCATACAAGATGTGGATTTCAACCATGAGGATATTAAACAGTTCTTCATTATTATCAGCATGATTTTCTCACACTTTTTTACCTGAAAGGGAGAAAATATTTCCAGAAAATAAATCTAAATAATATTTGATTAAAGCAAAGGTCTGTAATCATGAGTTAGGGTTTGCCTCTTGGTGCTCCCAGCTTTGCTGTGTGATTTTGGATAAACCTGTCTGAAAGTAGCGAAAAGGTATAAATTAGTAAGTAAATGAAGCCGTGTGTGATAAATACAATGATTATTCTTACTTTGTTAGCCCAGCAGCAAAAAATACTCCAGAAAATAGCAGAGGGATGGGGAAGGAAAACCCCCTCAAATGTTGAGTCCTGGTCACCCATAGAGACTGCTATTCATGGTGGCTGGAAGCAGCCAAAGCGAAGTGAGATTGCAGGTAGAGTTAATATCAACGTAATTGAAAAAGACAAGTTTTCCAGGGGGTTTTGTATGCCCAAAGCTTCACTCTTCTTCCTGACTATTGGATGATCTAATAAAAGATACTACTTTCCCCTGCAAATCCTGTCTCCTTTATACTTTCAGAGCCTCATGTTTCCAAAGAGCCTACCACAGCCACAGTGTAGATAAAGCAGCCATCAAGGGTTATGAT